GCGCCTTTGCCGAAAGGGTTCATCATATTGGCGTGGAAAGCGATCGTTGGATACTCCTTAGCCAATATTTTGATCCATCGATGCTGAAAAGCAACGATCGGTCCTGTATGACACACAGTTGCAACGGCTGTCCAGATTTGGCATCTTACCGTGACTGATTGCGGGATCAAATCGACCTTATTCAAGATGAGCACGATGTGTTTAAACGGCTTCTCCTTGCGAACGAAATCTTCGACAGTCCTGCAACGGGTACCCATCGGATCTCTTGAGTCCAGCACCTCACAGATAACGTCAGATGAATCAACGACTTTGTACAGTTCGCCCCAAATTCGTTTTGACTGTCCTTTTTGAAACAGTGAGTCGTTCGCAGAGTTCAGAATTCGGTCATTGCCAGTTACCAAATTTCCATCTGTCTCTTCTGAGTATTTTTCGGATTTGTTTTGTGCGGTAGACAGTAAACTCTAAAATAAAAAGATAAGGACAATAAAAGTATAAATCACTGCTTAAACAACGAACCAGAATTGTTTAAAGTATACTCTAATCTACAGGGCAGTTTCATTTTAGTCAAATCTATTAAGTTAAATTAATCATCTATCATATGTTCAACTGAATGCTTTATTATTCATCTGATTCCCATTTCCAGTCTATCTACACTTTCCCCAGTTGTGGGTAAATTGCAGAAAGAACTAGGTCTGCTTCATCATTGTACGCTTAGAACCATAAGGACACTGCGACAGGGATAAAATGGTTCTGAAATACTTCTGACTCTTCTCGTTTATACAAGTTTCACATCGTCTTTCAACTACATGATAAGTCAACAAATAGCTAAAATTGTGCACATGCACCAACCATTTAAATCCCAAAAGTACGTTAAACAACGTTACTTTGCAGAGCCAATGCTACTTTTGACCTTGCCAAATATTATCCTTTATCATAGGACCTTTCAGCTGCTTCCACCCTGTCGTTTGACAGAACCATCAGTAAAGGCATGGAATCGCTGGATCTTCAGAATATTTTATGGGAACCGAGTCGTGGAAGCCGCTGGTCAAAAAGCCGACAGCGAACATGGAAAAACATCGTTTACTCAAATCCGCAATCGCACAGGAATATTGACTTTGCCTTACTGAAAGCAGCGAAAATGTTTACAATCATACTGATCTGCTGGCTGTCATTCGAACATCATAAATTTAAGCACTGCTTGACAAGTTACGATGCCGTAATCTTGGAAGAAATGAAGACACAGGTAATGCTACGACAGTTCAAACACACATGAACGCAAACGATACTGTTAAAAGAAAACAGCGAATATGGCATGTACTTCTGAGCAACAAGCTGCTCTGCTGACTTGAGTGACCATCAATGTCACTGCTTCTCTCAATTATCCATTTAAAACGACTAGAATTTCAGTGCAATTAGCCTCATACAAAACACAAATTCATGGAGTAATTAACTATGAGCACAATACAAATAAAACGTCTGAGACAGATCTAGTTTGGGACAAAATAAATATTGGTCCACGCTTGAAGCACTAAATTGCAAATTTGGTCACTGTTAAAGTTGCTACGGAATAGCATGCAGGTGAACT